GCAGCCTGCTGCTCCCTCCCCCTCCTGCTGACAGCCCCCTTGGGAGGAGGGGTAAGCTGGGCTGGCACAAGCACCAGCCCAGCCCTGCAAAATATGAAACATTAACCCTAGAGGGAACACAAGTTCCCTAAAGCATTCTGCTTTACAGCACCTTCTTCTAATAAATGATTTGACCACAGTTAACTTTTCTTTTCATGCGATCAGCCATTTAAAAAAATGCTCTTCACCCATGCACATGTGTTACTTCATAGCTGTATAGCACTTTCAGGGACCCAACTGCACAAAAATATACCCTAACTCTTCTGTTTTAATTTCCCCTATGGGTACACAAGCCTAAGCTTTAGGAATGAAGTGCACAGCTTGATTGAGCCCTAAAAGCCTTAGCACATCAGAATTTAATGGATAACTACCTCTGTAAGTTCTTGGGGCTAGATTTGTAAGAAACATCTCCTCTATTAACCTAATGATGTAATTATTGGCTGTACGCTTATTTATTTATTTATTTATTTATTATTAAGGATTCTGGATGAAAGCCATGTTCCTGAAGACAACATAACAGACATACAACCATAATATTAATTTAAACAAAAATAACAGAAATGCAAATATAATAATAAAATAGGGCCAACTATTATGAAAGCATTATTCCTACTCCTAGAATTAACATAATCAAGTACAAATACAGTGATAAATCAGATCATGAATCTATAAAAATGTTGTGCATGGGTCCACAATTAACACAGTATAAAACAAATATAGTGATGAAGTTTATTGGTCATATCAACAGTAAAGGATGTTTAGCTCTGATCACTTCAGCCTTGTAAGCAAAAATTGCAAGACAATTTACTAAATATGGATCTGTTTGCTGCAGGAGCCATGTTAATTTCTATTTCAGAAGTATGTCAATTTCTGCAAAAACGGTGATAAATATTTTCTCCTTATGTTGTTATATAAAGGACATTCTAAAACATAATGAATAGTGTCTTCTAAAACTCCTAGACAGACTGGAAAACATCTGTTATATTGGCTGTATTAGACAACCTGGTGATTTAATTGAGTGTCATTTTTACATGTATTTGTTGATTTGATTCTAACTGCAACCTTGATTTGATAATTTTACTAATTCTTATTTAGTGTAGTTAACGTTTATAGCAACTTCTCTCACCACTAGGCTTGTTTTATTTTAAGTTTATTTATGACCTAGCAATTAAGCCCGCATTATATACAGAGACTTTTTTTTTCCCAAATAGCACCCTAGGTCAGAATTCTCAAGAATGAAGGTAACTTAGCTAAAGTATCTGACAGCTACTTGGCTCTCTCTCAAAATTCTCACAGGGTTCTGGCACGGGATCTTTTGGCTGCATCTACATCCACATTATCTATGAAATCACTTAACATCAGGAACTTCCAAGACAGTTAAATGAAAATGTAAAAGGAAGGTTCCAATTTTACACTTTTTCCTCTATTTGATGCTTTGGCTATATTCAGATACAATCAAACAATACCTATAGGCAAAAGATAATGAACTAAACAGTTTTGTTCAAAGAAACAACCTAGAAAGTCAGATAACATTTAACAATATTGGTCAGGATTTTTCAAATCCTGACATTTAAAAATGATACTAAAGATAATATTTAAGTTCTCTCATTGCTCACAGTAAGAGATAAAATGTCTTCTTCTTGTATGGCACAAACAGGCTGTTTCTGAAGCAATGGATTGTCTTCACAATATAACTCCTTCAGTTCCATCAACAGAAGGTCTTCCATCTATTTGAAATGAAAAATATTTTATTTAGGTGAGAAAAAGTACGGAATCTACCAGCTTTGCTACTCAAAATATTCCATCTCAAATATTTACATTATTATTATAAGAATATAAAGAAAGTAGGATAAATGTACTTGCAGATGTACATGGACTAATATTGTTAGGGAAAATATAAGATTTAAGGGAACACTGTTGCAAATATCTAATATAACAATTTTAAATCAAACAATTAAGATTGATTTCCTCTAAAAGAAAAGTCTTGTGATTAGAATCCTGCTTAAATTACAGCTTATAAAAAAACCTCTCTATTTAAAATTCAAGGCGATGTATACTAGTATAGTTCAACCTGTCCATTCCTGTCCCAACATGACTGATTTTCCCACAAACATCTAATTCTGAATCAATAATTGACTCTATACTGTAACAGGTTGAACAGTCCCGATGAAATGCACACTCAAGTATGGAAGCAGTGAGACTCTTTGCTTGGGACGTTTATTATGAGACTGGGCAAATTATTCAATGCAATAACAAAACACATTAGCAAAATTAAGGTTTATCATGATAAGAAAACATAAATGAAATAAATTTAAAAGACCCAGAAGACACTTAAGTTTACTTTTAACTTCTTTTTCAGAATGGCTAATAAAAGCTTGTTTCTGAAGTATAGAAAGCTGTTAAAACTACACGGCCAATAACAGTACCAGATAGTAGAAGTATAATTAAAGGTTTCAAACTATATAGTAAAATCCATAAAAATTAATTAAAATAAAATAACAGCATTTATATAATTTATAACTTTTGGGTAAAAACATACATCCATTCTACCAGTTACACAAAATTAAAACAGAACATAATATATATGGTGATATAAAAGAAGATAAATGAAGCAGTGAACAATAAAACAAAACACGAGCATTCTTTGATTTTGGCCCTTATTCTTTGAGCAAATAATGCAAATATACCCTAGGGGTATAAAACAGGAGCTGAAGTGTTACAAAGAAACCCGACTTGTTTTTTTTCTTTATTAGCCCAGTATTTAAAGTTTCCCATTAATAAAGAAATCCATTTTCTTCTTTCTTCAAAAAGCAAACAAGACCACAAATAGTGATTTAAGTACTCTATCTTCTTCTACCCACAAGAGCATATTCTGTCCAAATATGGTCTGATGTCTCCTGCCTATGCCAACTGCAGATATCATTAAAGAAAAAGCCTAGTAACAGCATCTGACTGTTTGCAGTTTTGTACCCAGACAGGTAGGTTTCTAGGACAAATGAGTGGTTAATTAATCTTAAAATAGTACTGTTCAGCTAATGGCTCCTAGAGGTAGAGCATTTGTACTATAGGATTATGGATACACTTTCCTGTTCTTTGTTTACCTCTGATATAAAAATATTAATTCTATGGGCAAAATGAGTGCAAGTCAAACTACAACCTACATCTCAAAAGTTGGTAACAGTTCTTTTTGGCTAGGAACAGACATTACACATAAACCAGTTCAAGTGATCAGAAACTGGTTTAAACCTGCAACAAAACAGATGCTCAATGCACATAAACCAGCTTGAAAATAGCTGAAATCGGTTTGAGATAAACCTGGTTGAATGTAATATCAGACTTAACTGATCTGGGTCAAACCAGTTTATGCAATGTCCCAAATCCCTTCCTGGTTTAAAATAAACCAGACACCCCCAGCATCCCGGCATGCTCTCTGGGCTAGGCAGGGCTCTCTGTTCCACAGCAGGGCTGGCCCCTCCCCTCTGCTCCCTGGCTGAAGCTCCAATAGAGACTGCAGACACAGCAGGGTCTGCCTGGCTTCCCCCTGCCCTACCCCCACCCCTCACTGATTAAGCAGGAATTCCCCCCCTTCCCCCCTCCCACAGCACAGACCTCAGCCCCATGGACCCTAAGCATGACATATGCTAGCTAATGCTGAGAGGTATCTGTGTGTGTCTCTCTCTCCAACTTCATTGGGGCAGGCAGAGAGAACAGTGACTGCTTAGGGCTATTTGGAGCTAATCAACTGGTCAGCCAGTGAGCTTTTTAAGAAGAGTGTGAAATAATGAAGAGAGCTTACTGTTTTGCTGGTGAGGTGATAATCACTGTTATCAGCCCCCTGCTGGCTTGCTCGCCTGTCAGTTTATTGCAGACCAGTATAAAGAAGCAGGGAGAGGGAGACTGAAAAGCTCCGTATCATCAACAGATGCACTGCACACATGCATCTGTTGCCTCAGAGTGCTAGCAGGGGGCTGGGGGCTGGAAACATTCCTGCCCCTTGAGCAGCCAGCAAAGAAAAGCCTGGGGACTGTGCAGGCAGACCTCCCAAGGCAGGGGTTGTGTGGGGGCCTGGCCATGCCCCCACCTCAGCTCAGTACTGTACAAGGGAAGGGAGGGCTGCTCTAGCACTCTCCAGCTCCTAGCCTGAGCCACTGCAGTCATGTGCCTGAATTTCCTCCGTCCAGAGAATGTCTGTCCGGTTAAAAACTGGTTCAACCTAGCCAGGTTAAACTAACCTGCAAAGATTGAATCAATTCAGGCTCAGGCTTCTTGAATGTCTGTTCCTAGCCGATATGACAAGAATAACAATGGCTAAAAAATGCATACCTTTCTTAGGAAAGTTTTAAGATTATTATAATGACTCAACCACAGATGTTTTTTCTTATACTCCTTTTACATCAAATGTCAAAATATAATCTCATTCTCATAAAAACCT